GAAGGTTTCTGGTCCTCAACCCCCCAAATCCCCCCGGCCAGAAATGGCGGGCGGGGAATTTCTGGGAGTTGAAGTCCAGACATCTTCAAGTTGCTAAGGTTGAGAAACACTGGGTTAGAGGATAGGTGTAAAGCTTAAGGAAAGACTAAATGAAGACACAGGAATTAGAAATTAGCAATGTATATGTAGAGATGAAACATGTATAAATGGAAATGATACACAATGAAGGATTGTAATTTAAGGAATGTATATATTAGTATCATGTATGGACAAAGAAATTAAATTAAGGGGGGAGAAATACATAATGGATGTGTACTGATGTGGAAATGTACAGAAGGAAATTGTAAAAAAAATATTTGTAAAAAACTTGTTTAATAAAAATACTTTTTTAAAAAGAAGAATGGCAGATCCCAACTCTCCCCTTTGCCAGAGCTTCTGCAAACTCTGGCCCGTGCTGCTAATCTTGTTTCTGTCTTTCTCCCCACCAAAGAGTCCACCCTTCACTTGGTGCTGCGTCTCTGTGGAGGAATTATTGAGCCTTCGCTCCGCCAGCTGGCCCAGAAGTATAACTGCAACAAGATGATCTGCCGCAAGTATGTCCCACGGGGGATGTGGGTGATTCCAGGAAGATGGGGGTGGGTGCAGGCTTTTAAGGCTGAACAGTAGGACATTTGGCCGCCTCAGTTTAGGGAATGTGATCATCCCACACATCTAGGGGACTTGGGAAGTACTTGGCTCACGATAGAGAACTTCAGTAACATCAACGGGGATGGAAAATATATTCTTGCATACAATCTTCCACTTAAAACCCAATCTTGTATTTTTTTTTGCAGCGGTCATTAAGCAAAGCCATTTTACTCAATGGGTGTTCTTTGCTGGAAAATACGATCACCTGACTTGGGGAGGTGCTGTGGCTATCATAACTTCAAAATCAGATATTGAGTAGCTTTTTGGGGAGGTTCAACATGACTGGCTGGTCGCAGCATAATTGCAATAGCTGTGACTAAAAGACTGAAAGGCAGTTGTTTTATTGCATTTTGTTTCAGGTTCTGGACAACATCTACAGTAAAATAATTCAATTTCAATCTTTATTAAGGTCACAGAGCAACACCAAGTCAATAAAATAATTGTCTTGTCAGGCTATGTTTTTCCTACCTATGCATCTTTTGATCTTGTAAACCCATAACATTACACAATCCAAGCTTCATGTCCTGCTCTCTCTGATAGTGGGCAGAAGTTGCTCTCTGGGAGATTCTACTGGGGTGTGTGAACAATCAGGTGTCCTATTGTTTATTTCCAGCATTTGATTCTTGGTGGTAGATTGTAGGGGTTGCACCAAACATTTAAAATTCAAAATGCCCCATTGTAGAACCTTTTCTTTAGAAAAGCTGGGAGTTCTATCGCAGCATATAAATCTCTTCCTCCTCCTCCTCCTCACTTCCAGAAATGGTCTGAAGTTAAAATGGTGATGTTTCAAGTTTGAAATAAAGACCTTTGGAGTTTGGGCAGTTCCAGGAGGATTGGTACAATGCTGGAATATTTCCAGCGAGGTCCAGATAAGCCATTTCAGTAATTAAAAAAAGAACTACTGGCAGGTTACTTTTAAACACAAACCTTACATTATGTTGTGTTTGTATTGTCATGCAGTAAATAGAGATGGTATAGGGACGCGGTGTGTCAGTGGCTAAGATGCTCAGCTTGTCGATCTGAAAGGTTGGCAGTTCAGCGGTTCGAATTTCTAGCACCATGTAACGGAGTGAGCTCCCGTTACTTGTCCCAGCTTCTGCCAACCTAGCAGTTTGAAAGCATGTAAAAAATGCAAGTAGAAAAATAGGAACCACCTTTGGTTGGAAGGTAACAGCGTTCCGTGTGCCTTTGATGTTTAGTCTTGCCGGCCACATGACCACGGAGACGTCTTCGGACAGCGCTGGCTCTTAGGCTTTGAAAGGGAGATGAGCACCCCACCCCACCCAGAGTCGGGAACGACTTGCACATATGTGCGAGGGGAACCTTTACCTTTAAGTTACTACTAACACAGTTGTAAAGTGAATTTGGCTTTCCCCATTGACTTTGCTTTCATTGGTTCATCTGTGTCACATCAAGGCAGGAGCAGTTTCTGCAACCACAGTTCATCTCCAGGTGCAAAACTGGAATGCTCAGGTGCTTCAGCTTGTGCCAGGGAGACCAGTAACAAGGCTTCCTCTTGTCTCCCCTCCTTTCTAGGTGCTATGCCCGCCTGCACCCCCGTGCTGTGAATTGTCGTAAGAAGAAATGTGGCCACACCAACAACCTGCGCCCAAAGAAGAAGGTCAAGTAAAGAACATGGCAGGAACTGCCCCCATCCCTTCTTCTAGGACCTGGCTGTGGTGTCCCACCAACGTGATTCATCTTCACCTCCTCTCATCAGAGGCCATTTTCCCCTGCCACTTGGAATAAAACATTCAGTGCACCAAATTTGTGTCTCTTCGTTTTATGCCTGAATTTCAGCTATATGTTACCTGCAAGGCCTCCAGAGGGTTAAAAAAAAAGGGATACAGGGAGTCCTTTCCTTATGACCAGTTACTTAGCAACAGTTTAAGCTACAACATACCTCCTTGAAGCTACTTGTGACTCAGATTCAAGGTTACAGTGGCTCTCGCCTCCTTCACTCGCCTCCCCCCCCCCTGGTCTCATGATCACATTTTGGGCAGTTGGCAACTAGCCCTCATTGATAATCTGCAGCATTTGATGGTTGCAATTTAGAACATTATTTCCATCACACTGATAATGTTACCTAGTTTGGTAATGAAACGTCTGCAAGAAAACCACCAGAGAGCACTAAGCCCCACAGGAAACTGATACTCAAGCAGAATCGGGGAGGGGGGCAAAGGGGTGTGTGGGGAGCCTCACCAGGGTGGGGGAGGCCCTGGGAGCCTGACACAGGTTTCGGGTGAGTGTTTCTTCCCTCAAAGGCTGAAAATCCTTAAGATTTTGGAAGGGAGATTTTCATTCAATGACAGATTCAGGACCCAATTGTGATTGTAAGTCAAGGACTACCTGAGGGTAGATAAAAATGCCAAAATACCAAACTTCTGGCTAGTTATACAAATAATAGCAGTAACAATTTAATAAAATGAAAATCGGGATGTTTTTATTCAATGGGCTGAAGAGCTAAAGTGCCAATTAGCCATATTTCAACTTTTGCTAGCCATCTCCAGCCAGCCTGTTCGACAGCCAAGACAATGATTTGTCATGAATCCGCCTGGCCGGCAGGGGGCAACACAAGATCCTGTTGCAAAGATTCGAGCTCATACGGGTTACCCGGAAGGAAGAGCAGGTTGTCTTAAAAAGAAGCTAGACTTTTAAGTGTAGAAGAGGCAATCACTTGTTTGCTTAATTCACTTTCAGGATCGTTTATTCCTTCATTCCCAGGGAAGACAACTTCGTTCAGGGAGCCCTGCAAGGAATTAAAGATTTAAAGCCGCGACATTGAAACCACCTTTTGAGCGCCATTCTCATTTTTTTGTTTTTAGCAAACATCCCTTTAAAAAGCCACGTGGGCATTCCAATAAGTTTCGCATCTGCACACCGTTGGCCGCCGTTGTGGGCGTTAAGCAGTTAACGCAGATGCTCAAAGAGTTCCTTAAGGAGAAAGAGACGATCTAGAGCAGTGGTCTTCAACCTTGGCAATTTTAAGACCTGTGGACTTCAACTCCCAGAGTTCCTCAGCCAGCTTTGCTGGCTGAGGAACTCTGGGAGTTGAAGTCCACAAGTCTTAAAGTTGCCAAGGTTGAAGACCACTGATCTAGAGAATTCAAAATAGCCTTGTCAGCCTCTTCGGCTTGCAAAATTGTTAGCTGGACTTCCCTGCAGAGCTGGGTTAAGTAAGTACCTCCGATTTTTAATATTTAGAGAGAATAACCGCACGGTGACGCTGCAGAGATGTGAGTGACACGATTTCCAAGCTAGAACCAGAGCAATACATGTATTGC